ACGCTAGCAGTCCTCATTAGCGCTAACAGCTGTCCTGCCGTCACACAGAGTCGCCAAGCTGTTCTGCATGACAATCTGCCGAGATGCAAGGCTAAGAGAGAGGGTGGAGTGGAGAAGACCGCCCGGAAGGGGCGAGGTAGGGAGCCCGGCTGCCAGGGCGGAGGGCGGGCACGGCCTGGCGCACGGGCTACGGCTCCCCAGGTCCACTGACAGCTGTGCAAGCGTGTCATCTCGGCGTGGCCCTCACCACACCAGCCGCCTGTGTGAGTGTGCTGCGGTGTGCACGCAGACTCCGACACCCGTGCAGCCCGACGGGCTGAAGTGACAGAGAGACTGCGGCGTCTCCCGCCAGTGAGGCAGAGCCCTCCCACGCCTGCCCGGGCAGGAGACCTGCACACACAACATGACCGTCGTGACCGTGGCCTCTGCGCAGGGAGCCGTCAGGTCACCACCTCCGTCACCACTTCCCAGCATTTAGAGACTGGGCCTCCGAGTATGTGCATGCGCTGGGCAGAGCTCAAGGTCGCACCACAGCCTGTCCTGTGCAACCTTGGGCGCCAGAGAGACACGGAGCCTCGACTCCAAACGGCCCGTCTAACTCCATCTAGATGGGCTGGACTACACAGCCATCCACCAGCCGTCCACCAAGGACTCTTGAGTACCCCGTGCTGGCCTCTGCTGCGTGTGCGACAACCCAACGGGGTGGGGGACGACCACCCCCCGTGCGGCTTATGCCCAGAGGAGAGGGAGGTCTGGCTTTAACGCCATGGGCAGGGGAACTCTGCCGGCCCACCTGGGAGGCTCATGGCTCCCTCGGAATGGCTCCCCCAGTGACTAGGTTTGTCAGTGGCAGGGAGAAAGGCTCCAAAGTGGCCTTAAAAGTGGATCCCAAGAGTATGCTCAGTGACACGGCTGGGTTCTCCTCCTCGGCCTTTTATTAATTACAAACCCTTCCCACAGATCAAAGACGAGAGCTGCACACAACCCGAGTTAACGACTATAGGGAAGTCAGGATGAGCAAGACTCATGGGCGACTTCCTGCCTCGATGCCCAGTCAAGACTCGGACACCCCGTCCGAGAAAGCAGGACCTTGTTTCATTCTCATTTAATGAAGTAACAGTCGATGGTGAGTTCGGAGATCTGCAATGACGTCCATCACTTTACAGGCATCTGGCGGAATGCGCTCCATTCAGATGAGGCGGGCGCACTCGCCCGCAGGGAACTACCTCCCTTTCCATCCCCCGACCTTCTGAATCCGACGCTTCGCCTGTTACAGACTCTCGACATCACCACGATGTGAGTCTGTGTAAAAATGGCTGGAGAGGAAAGAACTGCAAAGGTTTCACTTTTTCTTAAATCTTCAAAAGTGAAAAGAATTTGACATCAACTCTGAGAGTGATGACAAAGACAAGCCCTACTCGTCACAATAATTAAGAAAAAAAAAGTCAGAAGCATATCAGGAACTGGTAGACTCAGCCCAAAACAGCATAGCTGGAGGACGGTCGCTGCTGCCTTACGGGGTGAGAAGGATGACCCACCGCAGCCCTCGCGCCAGGGCCTCGGGGTCCCAGGGGTGCGTCTCCTCACTGCAGTGGCGGGAGGGCGAGCCGCAGCGAGTCCACGAAGCGCTGGGCTACATGTGCCTGGACACTCGGACAGCGAGGGTGTGCAAACGCGCTTCCGTACACGAGCGTGTCCAGCAGCTGTGACACAGCTACACGTCCCACGACACGTGTGGACAGGTATGTACGTGCGTGTGCCCACCAGCTGCGACACGGACTACATGGGGCGTGACGTGTGTGGGGCTAGGTATACGCGGGTATGTGTATAATGTAAGTCACGGCCTACCGTCCACTGCTCCTTCAGTAATGTGCTCAGAAACAACTGCTTCTGAATCACGTATCTGACCTGCTCACTGGAGGCGACAGAGGCGGAAGCACGTGACGCCGGGAAGCACCCATGGGCTTCCTTCCCACTGAAGCAGCGAAAGCCACGGAAAGTCAGACTTCGCTTTGGAGTTCAGGTCCGTTGGCACCACAGCCCTTCACTGCCTGCGTTTCCTGTCCAGTGAGGAGGGCCTCCCAAGTGACAGCTGCCCGGGCTCCTTGCAGCTCGGGTGGAATTCACACATCACTATTTGGCTGTCTGAGGCCTGACTCTCACGGGCCCCGGGTGGCAGCAGAGTCAGCACCCTGCAGCTCCAGCACATGGCTGAGCGGGAGCAGACGGTGACAGCGACTGCATGAGGCAAGCCCAGCCGGACACCCGGACCCTGGTGACCAGTGGCCTTGCACACAGGCCCCGCCCCGGCCTGCACACTGCTCAGCGGCGCCCCGCGGCTCTGGCCCACATGTGGGACCAGTCCCCACCGGCTCACATCTGCCTTCCCGAGTCTGCAGCAGCGCCATAGGGAAGCGAGCGTTGGTGTTGACGCCCAGTGGTCCTCACCTGGGTCAGCCCCGTGGAGAGCTGAGGTAATGTGACGGCTCCCGGGAGGGCCGAGGAGCACGGTGGTTGGAATGCACTCGTTCTCTCAAAGTCCCCCTCTTACTGGCCTCTGACCAGCCCTTCTAGGTGGACAAACACTAAACCTCCTCTTCCTGGTAAGAGCCAAGCTGAGGTGAAACGTCAGACGTGTCGCTGGGGGCCTGGCCATGTCACCTGTGGCTCATCCAAACTGCAGGCTTCCCGGAACCAGAGATGGAGGGAGGAAACGAGGTGGCTCTCAGCAGCTGACAAGGGATGACCTCGAGCACTGTCTCAGAGAAAGGCAGTGCCACCGCGAGTGACCTCATGGACAGCAAACCGGCGCCATGCCCCCACATGCGAGGTGCAAATGCACATGGTACTGACCCCTGCCTACCTCCTTGTCTCCAGGACGACAAGCCAAACATCCACCAACTCACGCCGAACAAACCTGCAGAGCACCCCTCAACCCAGCTGCTGCAGTCAGGTCTCATTTCTCCCATCTCTGGGACCCCACCGCGGCCGAGGAAACCTGACACTGGCCAGTGCGTGGGAGTCGGCGTCGTCCATGAGTCCTTGGTTTTGTGATAACCTCAGACACCAACCTGCTGCTGCCAGGAACTAGTCTCCCAACCTTCTGAAGCACGACGATTTCCAGTCCCTCTCACTGGACAGAAGACTGAACCGCCGTCCTGGCACACGAGGAGGGCTCAGCTGCAAGGCACAGGCAGCAGTGGGGCCACGCGGCCCGCCAGGCCCAACCATCCATCACTGAGCCAGCCAGCACGGAGAGCACCGGGACCACACACCAAGCACGGGCGACCCAAATTAAAAAGTCAGTTAAAAACTGTGAAGACTATTTTAAAGTTATAACACTTTCATATGCTTTCGCTAGCCACCATGGAATAGGAAACCTGCCAGATGGCTTGCCGACAGAGCCGCCCATCCCCACGGGCCTGCACACAGCGGGCTCACTGACCAAACAGGACTCAAGACGGTCCAGACCAACCAGCACCGGGTAGAATGTCATGCCGTCAGAGCACGCTTTCCTCCTGAAAGCATACCGAAAACCGTTAATAGCACAATATAAAATTCAGTATCATTTTCTCCTTTGTAAGTATATGAATTTAGTACTTAGTGTTAAACATCTCCTCTGAGTATTTATAAATAAAAGCATATGAAAACGTCCTAACTTTAAAGCAATTACTATAATTTTTGACTGATTTTTTTAAGTTTTGTCCTGTTAAATGTGGTGTTTTGTTTCCTTTAGGAAAAAGTGCCAAAGTTCACATTTGGGAGGTGAAGTTGCAATCACATGAAAAGAATTAGACCAAAAAAGAGAAAAATAACTGCATTCTCAGTATTTTATCCATGTTGTGCTAATTTCAGATTTTTTCAATGCCATGTGTTTATTCACACTTCTAAATACTGTCAGCCGGGTAGAGACTAGTCATTGGCCACCTATGGGGGAAGCTTAATGACCCAGTGACAGCCTCAACTGTCAGTCCCTTTTTATAGTAATTGAAACAAAACAAAACAGAAAAAGGCGGAGAGAGTCTTCTGAACTCCACAGGGGAGGCAGGATTCTGGGTCCTTCTGTTACAAAACCACCTACATGAGTACATCTGACGTTCCTTTCAAAATTCATGGATTTAACCTAAAAAGAAGTCTTAGGACAATAAAAAGCTCCTGCAGAAATACCCATGCCTCACGCACCCAGGGCGGGTCCAGCTAGAATGACCGTGAGCCAAGTGCCAGCCCACAGAGGGCGCACCCACATGACACAGGACTCCTTCCAACGGTGGGCCCGCTAATAAACACCACCACCAGCTGGACGCACGTGACTACGGAAGGGTTTGGCTCATTTCAGATGAAAACCACTGGGTTCCAGTCCTAGCTCTTGACGATAAGGACAGAAATGTGTAGGAAATAAACTACCGACAGTTTAAATCCCTGTGACACTCCAAATTTTAAATAAACATTTCCATTATTTCTAAGAAGAACAGACAATACAACGTCTCACTCTTGCTCTCAGGAAAACATTTTGTTATAAGAAGTATCTAAAATTTCTTTCATATAACTTGGTACACTGTAGGAGTAGCTGCAGTCACTAATAGCCAGGCAAATAATAACAGCCACAGCTACACTAAATAAACCCTATTACGGTAAATCGCCTGTTATTATGAACAGATTTCACAATATAGATTGAAAACACACATAACGCATCAAAAAAAAGAAAGGCGTTTGTGTTCCCTGAAAGCTGACGACAAAAGCCTAAAGCAAAGGCTGCATCGAGGAGCCCTGCCTCTGTCCAGCAGAGACGAGCAGTACATCTCACACTCTACTTTTTAGAAACGACAGAGAATCCACGTAGAAGTACAGGGAGAACAGTGAAAAAGAAAAGAAAAACACAATCTCCCTCCAGCTCCCGGAGAAACTGGCTGTAAACAGGAAGTGGCTGGAGACCACTTATGTCGACACCCGCCCAGCTACACCCTGCCTTCCAACTGCGGGACGCACAGAAGTTCGAATTAACTGCACAGTTAAGTGAGTTACTCACATCCAGAAATGCATGAGACTCTACCACACGACACTAAAGAATGTGCGCCGAGTTCCTGGAGATGAAAGCATGCCCTGAGAGTGTTTCCCAAAGAGCGCCCCACATCAACTTCACGTGAGTACATGGTCACATGCTTTTAAGAAACGGTGCCCCTGTTAAAGCAATGACCCACTAAAAACGCTCCACATCGCACAAGTGGAGCACAGCAAAGCCCGAGGCACTGCCCGTCCGAGTCCTGTGTGTAACATTCGGGGTGCAGGAAATCGACGACCCAGAAAGTGGGAGACCCCAGCCCAGTAGGATGACGCCCCACGAGGATACCCGACATGCTTTCCCGGGGACAAACACTGCACGATGCTGCGAATGCCGACAGCACGGCTCAGCCCGGCCCAGGGGACAGACGGCGCGCAGTGGCCGGGCTGCAGTCGTCCTGTGGGTCAGAGATCACCGCTGCGAAGGGGCAGAAGCCACGCTCAGGGCAGAGGTGAGCGACTACGCTGCACACCCACCCGAGACCAGCCACTGCTCTCCCGCGGGGCTCAGGCTCTCATGTCTGCTGTGACGAGGGCACGCCTTTGTGTGGGGACACGCTCGTGCCCACGTGCAAAGGTAACGCATTCCGTAGGTCTTACGTGTCACAGGGGCGTGAACCTAGAGAACCCGTGCCAAAGATGAAAAATCAACAGTGATGAACTAGGAAGATACCTCGGCAGAAACACTAAAACGTCTCCCTTCCTGCCTTTCCCAACTGCAGCCGTTTCTAGAGGCCCGCTGCTGACAGCACGCAGGAACGAAGCCACCTGCAGCCCAGCTGCGGACCCCACAACATGGGGCCTCCCAGGGCGGAGGAGGCAAGGCCCCACCTGCGGGTCCCAGTGCAGCCATGCTGGGGAAGCGGGCAGTCACACCTCCGGCCCCACACGCCAGCCCTGGCCAGTCCCTACCGATGCCCAAAGCCTGAAAAAAGGTAAACAGAGCAAGTTCGTGGAAAGTTTGTTCTGTTAAGACACAGCTATGCGAGCTGCCGACAGCCAGCCAGGCAGAGGGAGGGTGGGGCGCTGTGCGGCCGTCTGCTCCCAAAGACCCTGTAGCACATGTCATAGCGAAACTAGGGGAAAACGAGCTGAGTGTGAGAACCTGGGAGAGGCTGTGAAGAGCCCAGTCGGCGTGACCCCCAGGCCACCAGCCCTGGAGGGCCCGGGTCCTCCCTGACCCCTCTCCACTGCCCACTCTGTTCCTACCAGCTGCTTGAGAGAGTACTAGCGACTTCTCTTAGTCTCCTAAATTCTTTGATGTGTCCAAAACGCAGCTAAAGGTTTAGAAAAGAGTAGCCATTTTGAAAGACAGTGAAATTGGAAATTAATGCTGAAAATTAAGGTAAGAATAACGTTTTCTTATCTTTCCACAAAACCTTTTTCACCAACAGTTAAAGAGATGTTTGAACACGTGCAACTCACTCCGTGTGGCCCTGGAACACATTGACAGAGTGGATGGACGGGTCCCTGAAATCCCACAGGCGGAAGGTCGTGTCCCTGGAGGAGGTCACCACGAGCCGCTGGGTGGGGTGTGTGCAGCAGTGCGTGAGCTCCTGGTCGTGCCCTACAACCAAAGACGACGAGAGTCAGCATCACCCACCTCAGACACCCAGATACAGTGACACTTCTGTAAAAACATAGGAATCAAAAAAGCCTCCACAGTCTCCACTGCTAACACTCGCTGTAAGAGCTGACGCGAAGCATCACTCACTAACAGCACGTGGGGTCACAGCACCTTCCCTCAGCACCTGGACGTCCTTTTGCCTGTGCACTAACGGAGCAGGAGTGTGCGTGCAGCTGATCAGTTAAAAGTCTGACAGATCTCTTTAAGAGGCTGAGCGTGCAAACGAATTAATTCTTAATTCTTCACTTCCAGAATAACTTACAATAATGTAATACGTGGAGCCTCAGTGAAAAAAATAACCCTTAACTCTCATGAGAAAACACATATACCGACAAATTTTAAAAGAGCCTGTGCTGGGCAGAACCCTAAGACGGCCCAGAGCCCTCATCCCTGGTGGGCACGGCCCAAACGACACCATCCCTTGGGTGTGGGTAGAACCTGCAAATGTGAGGAGCTAGCAGCCAGGTGATCTCAGGACACTGGAAGGCGAAGCAGGTGTGCAGCTGCAGTAAGGCGAGCTAGAGGGCTGCCCCGAGGGGCCTGGGCCCTGGTGAGGGTCCACGCTGAGATGCTCTCCTGCGAGCCGGGCAGAAGTAAAACTGCCAGGGGCTATACGCCTCCAGATGGGGCTGCAAGGGACCCCAGGGCATGCTGGGTGCTCAGAGCGGTCTCCCACTGACAGTGCCAAAAAAACAGGACCTTGGCCATTCACCATGAGGAAATGAGTCCTTTCAGCAACAGTAAAAAAAAGGACCCAAGCATCCGATGAGGTCACACCCCAGGCAACACCTTCGTCTCATCGTGAGACTCTGAGCAGAGGGCAGCCAGCATGTGCCAGGAACCCCCGACCCAGGGAAACCGTGAGGTGACAAATTCGTATAATTTTAAGACAGTACTTTCATGGAAATGTGTTACAAAGAAACAGAAAATGAACGCACCAGCCATATCTCAAATATCTGGGTACTACACGCTACAACTGCGCCCGCTAAAGGGGAAATCCGCCCCCGACGGTTCTACCAGAAAGGGGCTCAGAAAACCGCAGCCGAGCGCCCCCGGAACTGAGGCCGCGCGGGCCGGGCGGGAGCTCGCCGGCAGGACAGGAAGGCAAGCTCGCAGCGGGGCCAGCGCCGCAGTACCTGTCAGGGAGTGCACGAGCTCCGCCGTCTCCACGTCGTACAGGTTCGCCGTCCGGTCCCAGGACGCCGTCACCGCCTGCTTCCCCCCAACCAGCCAGTCGGCGGCCATCACCACTCCCTGGTGACTCTTAAGAGAAGTCAGCGGCGCCCGGATGGTAGGACAGTCACTGGACACGTCTCCGTCCACGTCGGGCTCATCTTTATCAGAGCACTCGACCTCGTCCTCGCCACCTATCTGCTGTGGAAGGCGGGAAGCGAGAGCAGAGAAGAACCCCTGAGCTTCGTGGGCCTTTGCTGACGCGGCTATACAACTGGACTGTTGTCATGTGTCCTTCCTGGACTTGGTCATCATTATGACCAATACCAGCACAGTTCCTGGGACGTACCTGGTGCTCAGTGAGTGTTTATCACCTTTATGACTATCCACGTGGCCAAAACCACGGCCCACATATAACACTGTGTTATCAAACAAGCTACAGTCCACTTCCACTAACTAATAAAATGGAAAATAAAATGATTTTCAACATTTTAGGTTTTTACCACATATTAGTAGAAATGTAATAAAACTAGACAAATACAACTGAAAGTCAGTAATTTATCACAATAAAAAAGGAACATTTCAACTGTCAGGAGCATGCTTAGGATATATTTAGAATTCTATTGCTGTAACAAGAGATAAAAGTTCATTTTGTTTTCCTATAATGTTACCAAAGTCTTTGTCAAAATCCACAGATAAAATAAAAACATAATAGTCACGTCAGGCTTCAGCTCTTTAAAAAAACGTTTATCTGTTCGTTCAACAAATATCCATCAGGTGCTTGCACAGCGCCAGACCGAAGGCTGGGCACAGAGGGGGAGAGGCACAGTGACAAGTGCATATGAGCAACACACAGCCAGGTGACGAGGGCACTGAAGCCGGGGCCTCAGGGAGCTTCCACGCCGGCGAGAAAAACCAACCACGCGCGCACACACACGCACACACACGCACACTAGTACGGGAATATGTACCACGGGAATGCACGTACACTAGTATGAGCATATATGTTGTGTGTACACACCAGTGTAGAAATGCATGCCACACGCACACACACATGGCATAGAAACATGGGTCGCATACAGACACTCAAAGCACGGGGACAGGTGTCACGTGCACACACAGGTTCAGGCAGTAGTAAGTGCTAAGAAGAAAAGTAAAACGAGTGCTGACTAGTAATGGGGCTGCTCTTTTACTCAGAAGCGTCAGGCGAAGGGTCCGCTAAACTACTGCTCATCTCAGGATGCGAAGCAAGCGAGTACGACCCACAAAGACTGCACCTGGGACTCCACCAGCCTACAGCATGTGAGACGAGGCCCAGGTGACACATAAGCCCCGTCTGCGGAGCTGTCCCGGCCACCTGAGGGCACTGATGCAGGAGCCTGCCGGAGGTGACCCCAGGAACAGGTAGAAGGGGCCTGGGCAGGGCGGCGGTGCAGGAGACAGGAGGCTGCGCGAGGACCTCTTGAGGCAGCTTCCAGACCTGCCGATGTCCAGAGGGGTCTGAGAGAAACCGCAGGTGACTTACCGGGTGGAGGATGAAGGCGTTTCCAGAGACAAGGGACCAAGCGAGAGCAGACTGTGGGCACAGCCAGAGCCCAGTTTTGGACACATTAGTTCTGTGGTGTCTGTAAGACTGAGTCTTCGGTGTCTACAAAGCCTAGAGTTAACGGGCCAGGGACAGCAAGCGAACCCTGGGGACAGCAGCAAGGGGCGGCCCTGGAGGCGCAGGGTCTGGATCAGTGGGAGGCTGCGGAGGGAGGAAAGTGACCAGACGCGGGAGAGAGCCGCGTGCAGGTGGAGGGCCGGGAGGTGGCACGCACACAGGAGGGGCTCAAGTGTCAGAGACCGGGGCGTCTCTGGGCAGAGGAGGTGACCCAACCAACGAGACTCGAGAGCAAAAAGAGAACAAGAGAAACACACGAGACGTGGGGTGTGGTGGGAAGAAGACTGAGGAGCGACCGCGAGTGTCTGCTGGGTGGGGGGATGCTGACGGGAGGGGCCCGACAGGGGAAGCAGTGAGGTGACAAGTCTGCGGTCTATGTGGGACACCAGTGTGGCGTGGCTCCACGAGGGCTGCAGGACAGATGGCTCCGTGGGTGAGGGTGGCTGCACTGCACATCTGCGGCGGCCAGGGGCCACAAAGGAAGTAAGCAAAAGGAGAGTGAGGAAGTCGCTAGGCATGGCGGTCGCCGCCTGGGGAAGTGCAGGGCAGTGTCCCAGCCCAGCGTGGCCCGGTGAGGCCAGCCATAGGGCACTCAGTGCAGGGGAACAGGGGACAAGCCCACGTAGCCAGAGGTGGACGTGTGCAGGAGAGGAGGGCTCGGCCCGGGGGGAAGTCCACAGGAGTGCGCAGCTCTCCGCCTCCGGCAGCGCTACGTGCTGCGCCAGCGAGGCGCACTCAGGTGGGCGGTCTGTGACACTGAGTGGCACCTGCAGGATGCGTGGGGGGTGTGAGGGGACAGGTCTAGGAAGGAGGCCGAGCAGGGAGGGAGAAGGTGGCGAGTCAGGACAGCAAACACATCGAGGGGCTGGAGCGGGGAGAGGGTGCAAGCCAAGGCTGAGGGTCAGAAGGGCTCACTGAGGTGACAGCCGAGATGATACGAAGACCACTCCTGATGTCACAGAGCAGAGACTGGACGTTAAGCACTTAGACCCGACAGGGCGACTAGTCGGGGGACTAGTCAGTGCCCTGGACGGTGACGGCGAGGGTTGAGAGACCCTTCCCCCTTGGCGTGAGGACAGGACAAGCGTGTCCTGTGGAGTCACCCTGCTCAAGGGGATTCCTGCCTGGGGAACCAGGTGATCGGACCCAACAGGAGAAACATACAGTCACTGGACATTCCTGATGGGGACCCCAGAGCATGGGGTCTCCTTGAGGTGACACTGGCCCCTGACCCCTTCACGGCCCCACAGATGCACTGAGGAGTCTCCTGCACCTTGACTGTCCCCTGGGCAGATGCAGAAGAGGCACGAGATGGTGACACTCGGTAGAGACCTCAGGGGGAGAGAAAGGTAACCGGGAATTACTCGGGAATCGGAACAAGGCAGGCTTCACGGGTTAGGTAGAGGTAGACACGGGGGGGGGGGGGGGAAAAGGGTACATGTCAGAGCCCACACTTCCCGCCAGCTCTGCTGTCACAGCCTGGCCTGCAGCGTAAGCCTGACGGGCTCCTCACAGACTATCGTGACATAAGGAGTGACGCATGGGTCAAGGAGCAACTTCCACAGGGCGGCTGGGAGGTCTGCGGTGAGTCGTGGGCACAGGCAGTGCAGACCCCAAGGAATGGCACAGGAAGGGCGAGAACACAGAGGAGCAGGCTGGAGGCCCCACGAGAAAGCTCAGGAGCCACAGGAAAGGTCGGACAGAGTCGGCATTTGCGGATTTCCTTCCGCCAGACCACATGAGAAATGAAAACACACTTAAAATGCAAATATAGTTAAGTCATGTTAAAGAATGACTAAGATCGAGAGGTGAGAACCGTTTGTGATTTTGCCACAGACTTACAGACAATACGGCTAACTTCAGTCATTTCTCACTGCCAGAGACGTTTGAACAGAACATCGGAGAACTGCCAATTGGTACCAAGGCCCTGAGCGCCCGCCGCCCGCAGGCCGCGAACCCCTGGGTCACAGCACGCTCATGGAGGAAGGCCACTGGGAGCCGCACATAACTCGCCCACTCCAATTTTCACTTGCAAATGGAGAAGATTAACCCCACAAAGTTAGTCACTCAGTATCACACAACTAGGTGACACAGTGGTCTACCAGGAAACCCACCACTGCTGACACTCCACCATCCGAGCATTTCCGCATCAGCAAGGCAGGTGCCGAGTAACACTCGCGGGTCCAAACGAGGAGGAGAAGACATCTGTCTGCAAGAAGAGTGGGGCCTGAACGATGGGAGTCTACCTCGGAGCCCGGGACAGCTGCCAAGTGGCCCAGCAGGCGCTCAGGACACAGCGGCCCCAACACAGAGCCTCGAGTGCAAGGGGCAGAAACTGCAGAGGGGCGTGACGGAGCCGTCCCCGGAGGCAGGGCCACACAGAAGCCCCCGGGCGGAGCATGAGCCACAAACGGGGATCCGGGCTCAGCGCCCCGGCGGCCCCCAAACCCAGAGGCCGCAGATACAAGCCCAAAAATCCCAGAGTCCAATGCAGCAAAATCACAAAAGGGAAAAGAAAGTCTTCTTGACATTCTACGCAAACCGCCAGGGGTTTTAAAAGGAAGTGCTGTACGTAGTTTTCTCCTCTGACAAAATTGGTATTTTCTTATTTGCGGGAAAAACACACAATGTTAACTCACTTCTGACCTTTCTGAGCGCTGACCGCCACCCTCACCTCTGCCTGTCCTCCATCAGTGCCCAGCATTCGCTTCCTGAGTGAGCAGCTAAACCATGGCACATGAGGAATAGTTTGGTAATTCCACAAGGAAAAACTGTTAAAATAAAGGACATAATCACTCAACTGAAAATGAGCTGTTGAGACCTCCTAACTAAAGAAGAAATCTCATTCTTCTGGAATCCATTACTTAACCTATCTGCAAACAGAACAACGCCTAAAATGTCAAAAAAGAAAAAGGAAAGAACTATACAGAGGCGCCAACATCAAAACTTGAGGGTTACTATTCCCACCGACTATTCCAGCCAAACGTGACTCGAAACCACTTGTGCGTGCCTGGCGGCAGGCTGAGCTCTCTGCCTGGCATGCCACGTCCTTGCTGCAGCTGCACAGGAAGAGTGGAACCACGTGTGAGAACAAGCCTGCGGAAAGCTGCCCCACAAGGGAAACTAGAAAATCTCTTCACCCCAGAAGACACTGACGATCTGCGTGATCACACACACAGGGCCGGGCTGAAGTGGCACAACTGTACCCAGCAGGATGAGACGGTCGCTGAAGGACTTGGGGTTGACATCCATCAATTCATTCTTCCTCTCATCACCAAACTCCTCTGTCACCTACAGTGAAACTGCACAGAAGCGGTGCCACACGTGCCACTGGCCTGCACGGTCTCCTGTGTGGCAGTGGGCCAGCTGTCTGAAAGCTAACACGTGAAATGTTAAGAAATGAAATCTAACCCTGAATTTGGAAGAATTAACAGCAGGTGTTTAAGACTGTGAGGAGGGCGGTGAAAGCAAGCTCGGCCACGCGTAAAGACGCCGCCTTGGTCTGCTCGGGCCGCCAGCACAGAGCACCAGGACTGGGCACCGAGGTCGGGGTGACGGATGTGGTTTCTGGGAAGCAGTCTCTTGCTGGCGAGCGGACAGCCACCTTCTCACTGTGTGCTCACACGGCCCCGCAGGGGAGTGCGGGGGGAACACACATCCCTCTGCTGTCCCCTCTTGTGAGGACGCTAAGCCTACAGGACGGGGCCTACCCTATGACCTTCTTTAGCTTCAACTTCTTTCTAGAGACCCCATCTCCAAATACAGCCACATGGGGAATGACGGCTCAACCTATGAATTTGGGGGTACACAAACATCCAATGCACGAGACAGTATAAGGTTACCCTAAGATTCGCCAACACCCAGACCCACCCACAGCCCAGGCACGGTGCAGGGGAGGGCGTGCGCCGCTTACACTGGTGTCGGCCACCGGCTGGGGCGTCGGCAGTTGAACCGCGTATCTCCAAACGTGAGCAGTCTGATCTCCAGAAGCTGAAGAAAGAAATTGGGGGAAAATTACCCAAAGTGCACACCGTGCGTAAAATGTGCTTTTTGCGAGGCTCTGCGCATCATCAGACATGTAACTTAGTGATCGCTAGCGAGGTGAATGTCGTTCACTCAGGCAGCTATTTCTGCGACCGTACAATGTTGCTACTGAGAACAGAGTAAACGTGCTCAATCAGGATAATTACGTATAAAAATGTTCCCCCTTCATTTGAGGGTAGAAAGCTGCAAAGAGTCAGAGAAAACTTACAAGTAGTAAGCTTCGTTCTCCACCTGCCAAATCTCAGTAAACTGAACCCGAGTACACCCCGCACCCCGCAGCTATCACAGGTGCTTCGGGAAAGTGAAAGGTGCACAAGAGCACGAACCCCCGACTCGACATGGCGGCCCTCGTGACTGCCAGGCACAGAGAGCCCTGAACCTTTCACCAGCCAAGGCTGCCAGCGAAGCCGGACCCACCGCCCCGAGGCCGCAGCAGCCGTGTGCAGACCGGGGAGCCTCTCTCGGCGTCCGTGACTGGACCGCCTGCCCTGCCACGCTCTCCCCAGCCAGGGCCGTGCCCGGGCCCCCCTCGCACCTTCGCTCCAGCGCGGCCGCGTCCCCCATGCCGGCCCCTGCCGGCTCCTCTCTGAGCTGTCCCTCCAGTCCAGCCCCTCCTTCCCGACCTCTGGCTGTTGCTCGGCTCCCTCCTTCCTCCCTCTTCTCCATCACACAACAAAGGGCCGATCTGACAAGCCTGAAATCCCTCACCCATTTCGCCCCCTCGCTTCCTCAGGTGGCAGCCGGCTCTGCCCTCCCCACCTCGCTCCACTCACAGGTCAAGGCAGCAACGACGACTACTCTGGCCCTTACCCAGGGTCAGCAAGCTGTGCCCGCGGGCCAATGCCGGCAGCTGCCCGTCCTGGAAATAACGTTTACTACTGCAGCCACGGCCCCTCCCTGTGAGCGTCCTGCTTTCGCACTGACACAGAGCCGAGTAGTTGCGGTACATACCGCGCGGCCCCGAAGACGGAAACGCTTATTTCTGGTCCTTCCCAGACAAAGCCTGCTGACCTCTGGCCCCTCCAAACACTGTCCTTCAAGGTTACTGTCACTGTCCCTAAAAACACCAAAGGGGTCTACAGCTGTTGGACATTTTACAGGAAAACGCCTCAGTACGATAACTGTATAAAACACGAAACCCAAGCTGCCGCAGCTCAGAGCCACCGAGAAAGGGACAGGGACACAGGCTCTGCAAGGCCGTGACTCGGGACGACCATTTTCTCTTTCCTGGATTTCGGGCGCACACAGGGTCAGGGACGCGGCAGGGATGACAGGGCCTCAGGGAACTGAGTCACAGCCGGCCGCGAACCGTCACGCGCAAGCGGCAGGCACGCGGCAGCGACAGCAGGCATCGGCCCTGGGCTCCCGGAAAGGCAGCTCACGTCACTCACACTCCGTCAAGAAAGGGCTACTCAGTGTACTTCCCCTCGCTCATCTCCTACGTAATTCGCAAAACGTCTGCTAATAACGGTCCGACTTTAGCCCAGGCGGGGAGAGTCCAGAGGCTACTGACCGAAGAGACCGGCACGGCTGCTCTGAGGCCACCAACACTGCTCAGGAAAGAAGAGAAAGCAACGTACCAGTGAGAGCCAACTGCTCCGACGGATGGAATTTTATAGAATTTACTGCAAAATAAAAATATTACAGAAACGGGATTAAAATAAAACATCATCGATATTTATTTTAGCTACGTGTTACAAAGCTAAATGGAAAAACTGAGAAGTGACTATTCAATGTTAGATTTTCCCATTCAGTTAAACTATGAATAAACGAGTGAGTTCAAGAGAACAGACGCAACAGACGTACCAGATTTCAGGTACCAAAGTGCTCAAGTACAGGACCCATGAAAAAAATATAGTAATCTGTGTCTTTTCATACATAGCTAAGTCATCTGAGTTGATAATAATCTTCAGAGTAAGGGACACTGTACTGCCCGCCCAGGTGGCCCCATGCCCACGCCCTCCTCCCAGCTCTCAGAAACCCCATCTGTCCTGTCACACCCACACCTCAATGGGGACACGGGGCTGTATGCAGCACGGAAGGAACGTTCACCAGACTGTGACCAGTGAGACGTAGCTGTGCCACTCGAATTCCACTTCCGAGGGAGCTGAAAATGCTAGAGGAGTCTGTGTGAGCGCTCCCACTGGACCCCAGGCCACTGGGGAAGAGCTGGGGAAACAGGGACGAAGCGTAACTGCCACCACACTCCCCACAGCCCCCAGGCTCCAGAGTACCTGTGCTGGAGGGGGCGGGGCAGCTGGGAACAGGGGTGGAACACACACTTAGAGGTGTGGGGGTCCGCTCACACTGAATCCCGGGGCCCCCCTTGGAGACACACACCTCACAGAGCGAGCACGCACGAGCGTCCTGGGCCCATGGGCAGCTACGCAGACGCTCAGGGCACGTCGTCCCCCTGACCTTGGCAGAAGACAGGCTCGCTTCCCTGACAGGTCGGCAGGTGGGCACTACTAGCTCCAGAAGCAGAAGGCAGACACCACCTCCAAGTTTGTCCACAAGGGTTCGGGGCAGGGGGAATTGCGAAGGGAGGGGCCGGGGGCTGCCTGACAGGGCGACTGGAGGTGCTGCCTTCCAGTGGAAGGGGCCGCAGGGGGCACTGGAGAAGAGTGACCGAAACCAGGCCACAGCACCGGGACAACGGGGTCCGTGAGGGGGCGGCCCAGAGTGCGTGCGTGGCTGTTGATGGATAACGCACGCACTTCAGTTCCCAACTAGCTCCACGTGCCTCTTGTGCGACACAACACAAAACGCAGACGGCTTTGGCCCGGCGTCGCTCAGGGTGCTGGGCTGTCCCTCCAGGAGCCCACACCTGACAGCATGGCGGCTGTCGGTCCATCCGTCCACCCGTCCGTGACAATGCCCCGCTGTCCTGAAATGGCTCAGCGCACCTCCCGACTGGCGACCCGGTGACATCAGGGTGCTCACCTGACCCCACGTGGCCCGTGTACTTGACGAGGCACCTCCCTGTCTCGATGCTCCAGAGTAAAGCTGTGTGATCTGCAAAGTGGAACAGACAAGGACACATTGGTTTTTTTTCATAAAAGAAAAAGACAAACATTCTAAAAACAATAAAAATAATAAGTAACGTTACTGCTACTATCTCTTGCAACTGATTATACTACTCTGTAATTCAATTGATCAAAGAAAACGTTTCCAAGGAGATGGGAGAAGTTGGTGACTTGCCTGAGGTCGTTTAGGGGCAAGTGGAAAACCAGGGCCCCGAGTTCCTGGCTCACTGCTACACTGACTGCGCCATGCTGGAGACTAAAATATAGAGGTCGTTTACATCCTGGGGTCATCTCTTTAGTGAAATGTTCAAACTTTTCAGAACATCATGCAACATTCAAATGCAAACAGCATTCGAATCCAGTTATATGTTATTTGAGATCATAAATATTCCTTTGGACCCTCTCTAGTATGGGCGTAACAAAAACGTAAAAGGTAAGCTTTACAGAAAGCGCTGAAAAACAAATACAGCCACCCAAATGAGATTTCAGAGACATCAGGAAAGGACCTTTCGCTCTCCTTTATTAGTTCGCACTCCCACAAAAACAATCTGGGGAGCTCATGCAGGAAGAGAATTTTAACCAGAGAAAAAACCTTTATCGTTCTAACTGGTTTTACATTTTCTTTCTCCATTCAAAAAGGCAGAATCTAGTGAGTACCTTGTCACAGCTGGGAAAATCATCTTCAACGAGTAAGAAGCCTTTTAAATGTCAGCAATTTTGATCTGACAGAGTATTAAGTTATGCACATCAGGCGGCTTTCAAAAAGCACCTTTTCTTTAGAGTGAGGAGGCGGGATCTCTCCAACGCCCGCAAACACAAGGTGGCAGCGGCCCCACTCCCCTAAATCCTAGGACAGCGGCCCCCTCAGAGATCACACGGCACGTCCCTCGGCCACACCAAACCAGTCGCTGCAATGAACAGCGACTCCTTAACACGGTCGGCAGCAACCACAGAGGCGGATGTGGCCCCAAGCACGGGCAGCGGAAGGCCAGCAGAGGTGTCAGAACGAAGCCCTAAGTGAAGGCTCAGTGACTGCTCGGCCACATGTCTGCTCCTAGGGTCGCTCGGCTACGGTCATCCTAGGGTGGAGGCCGGTCATCTGCACCAGCTGTCTCACACGGCGGGGCTAGCTTTGGGCTCACCAGCAGACGCGGTCCCCAGCACCACGGGCTGTGTCCTCGCCACACTGACATCCCAGATGCCATCCCTGTGGCCAATGTACTCCTTCACAAGCTGACACACAGCCCTCGACGTGGTGGTCTTGAAGCTGGAGACAATCTAAAGTTGCGACAGAAAAAAGTTTGTGAACAATTTTATGAGCAAATGTTTTTAAGTTAGAAAAGGTAAAACAGAAAAAGATGTCTTAAAATTCATAAAGCACTGAATAGAACATTAAAGGAACACACATAAGTGCAAATGGTGGACCTCGCCCAGCAGGGTGTCACAAAGCAGGAACAAAGTCCTCACGAAGGCCTGAGCACCAGCAGGGAGGAAGGGCCTGCTCAAGTGCCACAAATCACTCTTCCACAAACCCAAATCACCAGATAAAATGCCAAATTCTTTAAAAAAGAGCTAGCAGGACATGAAAGTCAAAAGGCATACCCCAACCCTCCACTGACCACTGTCATTACTGGGAGACGTGTGTCTGTTCTGGGTAACAGACACGCCAACCGTGTGTCATCAGGAAGGAGGATCCAGGAGACAGCCCCATAACAGGCGAGGTCTGTCCAGCACTGCATCCCAAGCACGTGCCCGCACTGCACGAGGCGGCAGCCCTGGGACAGGGACAGAGCCTGGCAGGCAGCACAGTCCAATGGGACAGGCCCGAGAACCACACAGGCCACGCGACGGTGAGCCATCATCTCGTCTGACACACAGCAGACGACTCTCCCTTTGCTTATAAGAAAAGTAGAAAGCGTGTGAGAAGACACTAATTAACCACGAAGAACTCTTCTGAGTTTCGCTTTTAAAGTGTCCTTGGATGTAAGAATGGCTTTCGGTTTTTAAGTAAATCAAGATAATATAGATTAATCAGGTCAGGCTAAAGCCGTAAAAACAAGTGAAAAAGAAAACCTGGTGGCACTCTACAGAGCTTTTAAACTCTGATTTGGCAGAGCCCTGAAAATATACGTCAGTCCCCTCTGGGCAGACACACGGCCATCACGGCGGCGACGCAGCATGACCCTGGCACTCCCCACCCGCCAGACGCCGACAGAGCACGCGGGGAGGAGGCCCGCTCTCAGCAGCACTGGGAGGGCCGCGACTCGGCCGGCACACGTGTGGGACTCAGCATGCCCTAAAACCCAGCGCCTCTTCCCGCTGCAAGCCCGTACGTATCACAGTAAGGCCAGGAGGGAAGTGAAGGTCTTCGGCTGCAGCACCTGCCCATGGGTGGCGTCCTGTCAGCTCTCCCTCCCAGAACACACGGCAGCACTGGCCACGAGACGTCTGGCATCGGGCCATTTCTCCCAGTCTCAGAGCTCGCCTATTTTTGTTATTTTTCTTTAAAATGGGTACACACAGCGTGCACAACGCTATAAGGACCATTAGTCATATGCTTCCCGTAAATTCAAATGAACTTCTAGTATACAAAATAACTGGGCTTTAAATACTTCTAACACATTTTTTAAAGCAAGTATTATCGTGCACGTCCTTACCTCTGCCCCAATCTTATTTTTTACTACTCGTGGTAAGGGATAACTCTACAGAATCCTTTCCTCCTCTACTTCAGAAATGATCAGAAAGGTTTGGCATTCTAAGACCTCATGCTATACACTGAGGCCTCTTAAGAAATCTATGATATTCCTTTTAAAAAGTATATCTTCCTAAATGCCAGAAGTTTATCTTTTTCCATCACACATTTCTAATTAAAGAATGTGCAGCTTCAAGGGCATCTGTGCACACCTGCGGCACCATGTGACCGGCCAGCAGCCGGGTGCCCTGCATACCTTGCTGGTGGAGGCCTTGTAGGTGGTCTTCAGTTTCTGAGAAAGCTGGCTGGTGCTGTGACTGGCTGCCGAGACAGAGAACACGGTCAGCATGGTCAGATGACTGAGGAGCCGGGACTTTGACAGCGGGAGGGACGCCAGATGCAAATGCAAGCATCTCACACAGGGAGACAGTGCCACTGGCGGGGGGCACCAGGCCGTGCGGCCCCTGGCTCTCCCGTGTACACCCGCGCCTGAGCCATGGATTCGGTCGCGTCATGAAAACCCGTGCATCGAGTCCGGCGCCGCACCCCCAGCTCCTCCTCCCATCCCGGCTCCTCCCCGTGTAACCCGCCGGCAAGCCCCTCACCTTTGGTTTTGAGCTGGCCCTTGCTCAGCTCTGCCCCATCGACCGCTTGTCCTTCAGCAGCTAAACGCTCATTTAGAGTCTCGATTTCTCTACGCACTGGGGAGAGAAACGTTTTTTTCAAAAAGGTAAAATGTGTACTTTTTATGTTTAAACATATTCACCGCTTCCCAAACTTGCTGTTATATGTTGGCGTTGTCTAAACAAAGACATGAACAACATTCTAATAAATGAGATCGCAGTTTACAGGGTTCTCAAAAAACTTAAGCCATCTCCAGAACCAGAAACCACGACACTCCCCCTGCACGAGAAGATGTGACACCACTGGGCTCTCCATGAGCACGCAGGGGCTTCGGCACACCTCGTCTCCTTTGTGCTTCAGTCTGCAGATGCAAACACATGACCCTGACCCTGTCCAAAACCCAATGTGAAAGTTACAGTCTGGCTGAGAACACTGAAATAAAGCAAAAAAACATAAAACAGAAAATAAGAAAACCTAACTATTGCTGCATGGCACCACAGAGGCCAGGTGAGGATTAGGTATTAGAGAAATTTAAAATGCAAGGAGAGTTATGGAGAAGGAACAGTCGTAGAGATGCATGGGGACAGGAGAGAAGAATGAAGAGAAAGGCCACCAGCTAGAGAAGAGAACGAGCAGACACAGGGGAAGCGGACACGGCTGTGCTTTGGACGGGTGCTGTCATCCCACTGTGGCCCTACCCCGCAGGGACGAGGCAAGAGTCTGGCTGGGGGAAAGGTCTTGCCCAAGGACGCGAGCTACCGCAGTCACGCAGCTGGACCCCGCCTGGCCACAAACACAGCCAGCATTAGTGCCACATAGACACGGGCAGGGGCTCTGCTCAGGCTGCAGTGAGGCCAGGGTCTGGGTAAAAGCACAGCTGAGGTCAGTTAGGGAAGTCCGGGGGCGAAGGCTGTGAGCACATCCGTTCTGAGCAACTCCGACGCTATCTCATAGGCAGCAGGAAGCCGCTGAACCTCCAACATCCGGTCATCTGCAATCTGACAGTTTTTCTTAAACAAATTGCATGAGTTCATAAAACCCAAAGCCTTGTGTCACAGTGGGAACTCAACAATATTTCAGTCCTTCAGAGAACCCTTAAAATCAGACAAAGTACCTTTTTATTCTATAAAAGTGAGAATAATTTCTTCTTCTGTTAATTTTCAAGGTAAACTCATAAGGAAAATCCAATATCGAAACATTAAATTTTCTAATAATGAAGTTTAAATGATAGAGGATTATATTCTCTTCGCTACTGATTCAACCACACCGCTTAGTTCTACAGTGAAAATACTTTAATCGTGCAAATGCTGTTTATTAGTACTCAATTTTTGGAATCAACTCATAAGGCATGAAGGACCTGATTACAGTTAAAATTTTATAAACATAAACCCCGTAAAATAGCAAAGCTTTACAGTAACAGAGTGGCGGGGGTTCAGGACACGCCCACCTCCCGACACACCACAGCACCGCACGGAAGCGTGTGGCCTGAAGCCGACAGAGCGACAACCAGGAGTAGATTCAGTTTATAAAAATAATCACCAGAAGAACTAATGACAAAAAACACAGAAAACATGAGTAGGATGGGTCGACAGGCACAAGTAAGAGTAGATATCTTTTCTGTTTATACAACTTGAGTCTTTAACCAAATGAACACATTGCTTCAAAAAGGAAATTAAAAAAAATAGCAATCTGCCAGCTAATTAAACCTTTTCACCTTTAATAAGTCAAACAAGTAATACATACAGTTGTAATACAGTTGAAAAAATTCTCAAAATATGGTATATTTTAAAGAGAAATGTGAATTAATGTTTATCAATTTACGGTAGAGTTTGCCTAGGAAAAGTTACAGGATACATTTATTTTTTATAAAATCATAATTCAGATCAGCAGGTGTGGTCAGAAGAATACTACTGCTCCAAAGATAACCCATGTACGTGACCTCGTGGCAAAGGGAGCCTGCAGGTGTGACTACAGTGAAGAACAGTGCACAGGGAGACCCTTGCATGACCCAGGTGGCCCACCCCTCCCCCACATCCTTAAGAGGCGGTCGGAGATCCAGCAGGAGGACCCCATCGCACGGACACTTTGCAGGACAAAGGAGAAGGGCTTCGAGCCAAGGCTCTGGCCTGGGAAGGCCCGCAGGGAGATGGAGACCCCTATCCTCGCTGCGGGGCAGTGGGGTCTGCCGCGACCCAGACAAGCTGGGGAAGAGCCCCTCAGCCTCCAGGAGGAGTGCAGCTCCGCCCACACCCAGTTTTGGTCTACAGAGCTGCCAGGTAACCGGGTTTTTCTTAGCCACTAAGCTGATTGTAGCTGAAAAGAAACTGGATGCAGTGGTGAATGTCTACCTACAAATTTGACTCTCAAAGATTTCTAAGTTCTAAAAGTGTATTAAGACAGGAGATACTTACATTCTAAGTTTTCGATATAAAGGTTTTCAAATTCTCTTTCTATTTGACCAAACAGTTCCAGAAGTGTACTGCGAACTGAGGAAGGCAGTTTAGAATCCTGTAAGAAAAGGAAGGTTTTGTTTAAGAAGAATGAATGAGAAAGTCTACTACCAAGCACCAACACTGTTTCCAAACTGAGTTATCCTTAACATGAAGCTCATTTTATATCTTTACGTTTTATTTCTTATACATAAAATGCTGAAAGAACTTAAACTTACAAATGTCTGTAGATGAAACTAAAATCAAACTATACAAATGGTTACCCAGGGTAGCACGGGATTCAAGAACAAGCATTTCTTAAAAATAACTAAATTTTTCTTCTTACAAGGGAGAAAATAAGCCTACCTTTTCAAAAAGTTCCAAATTTGTAGTTCTCATAAACAAAATTATATTAAGTAACCTTTAAGTTCTATCATACGGTATCAAATCAATTTTACTAAGTTACGTACTAATAGGTTTGCCTTACAGAGTCCTCATGTCCATTGCGCTTTGAGCAAAATAAACTAAATAGTGGTAATTCCACTTAACACCTAAAAGATGGTCGTGAAGCAGAATGAAAACCCGGCCTGTGAGAGCAAACGTGTGTCGGGTAAATGAGAACAGCAGGCAAATGCAGGCCCCAGGGCCGCCCGCGCAGCTCCAGGCCCTGCTTGAGCCTCACGGGGAGTCAGTGGGAAGACGCAGCGCCTCAGCTGGACTTTAGGCTCACACGAGTGGGCAGCGTCCTACGCACCAACTGTGATCGCAAGCATTTGCTTTCCAGATGCTGCTGATAACGGAGACTGATATAGTCTACACTCCAACGTCCTGAAGACATGGCCTAGACAGTATTTTCTGTGTGACCGCTCCCAGCACTTGAGTATTTTCAAACAAAACTGTTATCAAAGGCTTCTAAAACAATGTTTCAATACCTAACTGCTGTCAGGGTAATTTTCTAAGTGACTTTTCAAATTTATATGCAGCACACACTTCTTGATGTTTAATGAGTCTCAAATAAAAAGAGATACAATGTTTAGTAAATCCTTCTCTGTAACATCTTAGATTGTAGACAAAACGATCTCTAGTGATATAAGCATTTTAGCTGTGTGGTCTGAAGTAACCACCTAAGTAAATTTTACGAGCTACTTAAAAATGTACGTGAAGCCGCTGGTTTACACGCTGAAACTGGCAGAAAGGGTTAGTGCAGCCTCTCTCAACATCCCTCTCAAATGCCAATAAAAAACAGGAAAAAAAATAAAAACTTAAAATAACAGAGGGAAGGAAACTAAACCGTCACGCTCCTGCTGATAGCCCTTCCCGACAGCCCTCCCGGGGTCCCTCGCCTTCCCAGACCCTGAACGGAGGCCTAAAATTCTGGTGTCACCTCAGGAAGCTCAGCAGAAAAGCTGCGACCAGCAGAGCTTTCGGGAGGATCTGCACTTGCGCAGGGGGCCAAGCGCCTGGCGGCAGGACAGGGGCTGTGCGCACGCGGCCCCAGCAGCCCCAGGCTTCGCCCTGCCCCAACTCCTTCCACGATGAGCCTAAGGGGCAGCTGTCCTCCCACGGGACCCACCCCCAACAGCTGCAGGGCAGCACTGTCACTTGGTCCAGCACTCAGCTCACACCCACCGGTGACCGCGTCCCTGCCCTCTCACAGCCCTGGACACCCACCATGCCCGCTGCCTGCACCCCACACCATCGCTACGCCCTGCCACTGCGGAAGCACGCGGAGCGCCGTGCAGCAGCCCTGCCGGACACCAGTGTCCAAGGCAGGTGCGTGCCGCCCGGGAGCGCGGGCGACACCGGGCGGGGCTGCACGGCCCCAGGGTTCTGAGCGACCTTCACAAGGGTTGCCCTGATGCAGCGGCCTCTGTGCTACATCACAATGGAGGCTGGGCACCCGGAAGGCCCGGGGAGAACACGCGCACCCACGCGGGGTTCACACTGCAGGACGCCAGCCAAGGCCGGGCAGCTTTCACGGCTGGACTGCATGGAAACCCAAAAACGCCTCTTGGACTGTTCACCCACACTGTCCACCATGCAGCCAGGGGCCACGCGTGCCTATTTAACCGTAACTAACTTTTTAAATCTCAGTCCCACGAGCTCCATGGGGCTTGTGGCTCCCGTATGTGATGGTGCAGATGGAGAACATTCCAGCATCGCGGAGGTTCCACCGCACGCTCCCGGTTCAAACGCTCACTTTGCTAAGTGTGACAGGCTGATCTGTGGGCCTCACACTCATATGTGGACGTCCTGGCACCCAGCACCCTGGAATGGGACAGTGCGGGAGCCTCAGTGACTAAGGCAGACGGGGTCGGCGGGGTGTCCCTATGGGAAGAGATGAAGATACAGACACGCAGCGGGACAACCGTTCCAGGACCCCGGGGCGGAGGTGGCCGTCTGTACCCCAAGGACAGCGGCCTCTGGAGGAGCCAGCCTGCCCACACCTGACCTCCCACTTTCTGCCTTCAGGACGGGGGGAGTGTAAAGATCTGTGGTTGGAGTCCCCCCAGTCTGGGGTGCTCTGTTACGGCCACTGAGCTCACTCACACACTAAGAATGTCAAAGCCATTTTGGGGGCTCCTTAAAGTCTATGCTTTTATTTCCAATACTAAGGTAAAACATCCTTTTTTTTAGACAGCAGAACCAGCTGTTCATTTCCTTATCCATTCAAAACATCCTAACAGGGTTCCAATGAACCTTCACTGTGTGCCAGCAACTGCGCTAGGATCCGCACGCACTGCCCCCAGGAGCTCCGACCCGGAGGGCGGGGCCCCGCACGGCTCTGCCAAGGCCGACACCCTACCCGCCCACTGCTCCGAGTTCGACCCCTCCGAGTTCGGCCATAGTGTCCTGGAGCCTGGGGGCTAATGAATCAGCTCCAGTCATGAAGGAATGGTCATACATCTGGATGCACTTACATTTCTATACATACTGATACAAACGTACATCAGATATGTCTATAATTTATTTTATTATAACATCCTTTTATTTAGGCTTCATACTATTCTTTAAAAATGCTAACGCATTTTCATCACAATGAAGGAAGTAGAAAAACTTATCTTTATCAATAAAATTATCTCGACTACTCAAAGGAAACATCAAATTGCCGGAAAGGCCTACTGTGATACACAGCAGATGACACACTCACTACAGCAGACACTGGGTAAAGTCCAGAAAAGTGACTGAGAGATCTGACTGCAGAAACTCTCCAGGGAACAGGTGACCACTGAAAGGCCACCCCAATTCTCCCTTTCTTAAGACGATGGGGCAACCAAGCTGCATGGCCGCTCTGCCCGCACCAAGTGGGAGAACTGCCCCAGTCCCAGCCACGCGTTTACTAGCCAGTGCTGTAAACACCTCGACCTGGGAACTGAACCCTGCCGCTGTGCAGGCTGCTGCGCTTGACAGCTTCATGGGGGGAGCTCTGTTTTCCTACCCACACTCTCTCTACTCTGGAGACCTGTGCATTCCAGCCACTTCCGGAACGTCACAAACGCACGCAGCGCCAACTTACCTGTCCTTCTAGCATCTCTCGTGGCAGGCCCGGCCTCTCCTGCTCCGAGCTGTTAGTTCTGCGTATGGAAAGGCTGTGAGATTTGCGTTTCTGTTTGGCTTGGCGAGCAGCTGAACAACTCCCGCTTTCTGTGGGCATTACTTCTCCAAGGTGATATCCTGGTCACTCCTGCAATAAGCTAGACAAAAGCAGGGACAACAAGCACTTCATTTCTGATTATAGCAAACTGAAATGAAGGAAAAACAGCAGACAAGACAGTGACTACTTTTCATTCCTAACTTCCTTCCTCTGGTTAGCATTTACTATGTAATTTAGAATGTGACAAGTTTTAAGGCAGAAACCACAGCCTTTGTTAAAGAGGTAATTTTTTATCAAATTTCACTAACATGTTTTAAAAATCAAATCGCAAAGAGCGTGAAATACAAAACAACTCTCCCTTAACCCACTTTTCCCAGGCGAACCACCTAACTGCAGGTCCCAGACCGTGCATTCTAGAGAAATGCGATGCAAGCCACACACATCGATTTTCTAGTAGTCCCATTAAAAAGGTAAAAACAGGTGAAATTACTCTTCATCATTTATTTAACACAATATGTCTAAAATGACACTTCAGTCAATGCAAAACATACTCATGGGACGTCTCGGTGCGGACGCTTCCATCCAGCGTCGGCGTGTGTTTCGTGTTCACAGCGCATCTCAACCGGAAGCGGCCGCACCCAAGGGCCCGCGTGTGGTCAGGGCTGCCACGGGACAGCAGACCCGCACTGACTCGCTCTGGACATTCCCTACGCACTTCCTGCTGTTATCCATTCCTCCCGCCAACATGATCACATCACTGTTAACATCATCTTAAGTAACACACGCGACACTGTCCTTCAACGGCAGTCTCACATTTTAGACAGTTTTTGCTCTGATGCCTCTTCCCAACAAATCTGTTAGTTCATAGCTTAATATATTTAGCTCCCTTCTTTGACCAGACAGTATCTTTTCACCCTCTCCATCCCCCGCCCACTCCATAGGAATGGCCGCAAGTGTCCCACTTGTTCTTGAGCTCTCCCCGACAGCCACCCATCTCCAACTTGTGTTGTCACGAGAATGCTGCGTGAACGCGGGCACAGAGCGAGTGCCCTTCTGAGACTGTGAGCCTGATGCCGAGCCCCACCGACCGCTGCCCGGGCAGCTCCTCCTCCCACGCTACGGACGCACCGACGCGTTTAACCACTCACCTACTGCAAGAGTCTGGTTCTTTCCAGATTTTTACCATTAAAAGCAAAGCTCCTACGAACAATAATACATAGTTTTTGTATAAATATGTTTCTTTCTTTTGGATGAATGCCCAAGGGGGCCTTTGTTGGGGCACAGGGTAAATGCATGTGTAGTTTTAAAAAGCCTTTATTGAGATATAATTCAAATAAATGGATTCATACAACGTATGGCCTGGTCTAATCTATGGCCATGCCGCCCTGAATATGCCGGATCTCGTCTGACCTCAGAAGCTAAGCAGGGTCGGGTCTGGTTAGCACTTGGATGGGAGACCACCTAGGAAGACCAGGTGCTGTAGGTGTTAAAAATTTTTTTAAAAAATAAAAATATATGGCCTGTTCTTCTGTGACCGGCTTTTTCCACTCAGCATGTTTTCAAGGCTCATCCAGGTTGCAGCATGTATCGGCAACATACTCCTTTCCATTGCCACACACACCCTATTTCTCCATTGGTCAGCTGACGGAACTGTCGTTTCCATTTTCAGGTTATCACGCGTGACGCCACTCTGAACATTAGTGTGCGAGCTTTTGTGTGCCTTTGTTTTCGTTTCTTGCGTACATACCTAGGAATGGAATTGCTGGGTCATAAAGTAACTACGTTTAACTGCAGTGAGTTTAAGAAACCGAATTATTTTCCAAAGTGGCTCTCATGTTCCCATCGGCAACACGTGAGATTCTGTCCTTCGCACCCTCACCAGCATTGGGTATCACCACTATTTTTAATTTTGGCTGTCCTGATAGGTGTGCGATAGCCTGTCTTAATGGTCTTAATTTGCACTGCCCAGGTGGCTAGTGAAAGTGAACATCTTTTCATGGGCTCATCTGCCATCCTTATATCTTCTTCACTAAAATGCCTCTTTGTGTCTCCCGACCCCTTTGCTAATAAGATTGAGGTTTTTACTGTTGAGATTTGAGGTTTCTTTCTACGTTCTTCATGAGTTATGTCAGATAGGTGGATTATAAATAGCTGTTCCCAGTCTACCACTTGTCTTTTCACCCTAACATGGTTTTTCACAAAGTAAATCTTTAATTTTGATGAAATCCGATTGATCGCTTTTCTTGTATGAATCATACTTCTAATTAGGCAAGTCTAAGAAATTTTCATCAATCTTAAATCCTAAAAATTTTCTCTTATATTTTCTTAAATTTTTCTTTTAAAAATATTATTATTTTATTGAATCTATTGGGGTGACACTGGTTAACTCTGGGTAGTGAACACACACTACAATACACTTAAAATTTTCCTTTTGTAGGTTACATTTACATTTCAGCTATTTGGGGTCGATATTTACAAGGTGTGAAGTTTAGATCAAGGTTTTGGGTTTTGTTTTTTGCTGATGATATCCAATTACTCCAGCACCCTATGCTGAAGACTATCTATTCTATGCTGAATTGAGAAAGTTTGGCATCTTGGTCAAAAACCGACTGGCTATCCTTACGTGGGATTATTTCTCGGCCCTCTATTCTGCATCCATCCCTCTGCCGATAACACGTGGTCTTGAAATCGGTTAGCGATCCCAGAGCTGCTCAGCTATTCCAGTTCCTTTGCCTTATAAATTTAGAACCACTTCCACAGCTACAAAAACCTCGATGGGATTTGGATGGGGGCTGTGTTCAATCCGTTCATGTTGGAGAGAACTGGGATCTCTATTATGATACACCTACCAGTCCACAAATACCGTAAATCTGTTTATTTACATTGTCTTTGATGACTTTCCTCAGTTTTGTAGTTTTCCCTCTAAAAGTCCTACATGTTTTCTCAAATTTATCCTGGTTTGTATTTTTATTTTTTGAGCCATTTTAAACATATATTTCCACTTCTACATGTTAATTGCTAATAAAAAAATAAAAAGGCTTGTGCATCAAGCTTGTATCCTACAGCCTTGCTGAACTCATTAGTTCTAGATTTTTTGTGGATTCTATGGCATTTTCTATGTAGGCTATCATGTCATCTAAAAACAGGACAGTTTTATTTCCTCCTTTCTGATCCGTATGCCTTTAGTACTTCCTTTTCTTATCTCATTGATCTGGCTAGAAATTCCAGTACTATGTTCAATTAGAATGGTGACAACAAATGTCATTGCTTTGTTCTGACCTCAAGGTAAAAATACTGTCTTTCGCCATTAAGTATGGTGGCAGCTGTAGGTTTCTGCAAACATTGTTTATCAAGTGGAGAAAATTCCCCTCTACTGCTCATTTTCTGAGTGGTTCAGGAATGACTGTTGAACTGTGTCTTATTTTTGTCTGTATCCCTTAATATGATTGTGTGGCTTTTCCTTTTAGCCCGCTAACAGGTCAATTACACTGATATTATGTATTATATAACATATGACTACATATATGTAATCACTTCAGTTGATGTACTGAATAAAACACACCTGATCGCGGTGCATAATTCATTCCGCTTGTTCTCTCATTTTGTTTCCGTTTCTTTTTTTCTACCTTCTTCTGGGTTACCTGAACGTTTTTTAGGATTTCATTTTGATTTATCTATAACATAGTTCAAGTATCTCTCTTATGTACGACTTTTTTAGGAGCTGCTCTAGGTGTTAATTATATTTTCACAACCTATCAGTCTACTGATTATCAGCATTTTACCAGCTCGTGGTGAAGTGCTAAAACCTCACCCTTCTCTATGTCCCTCTGCCCTCCCCCACTTCTCACGAAATCATCTTAAATGCTTCCTCCACGTGCATAGGGAACCTCATATCATGCACAGAAGGGACGTCTACTGAATGTCCAGTGTTTGCTCTTTCCACTGTTAGCTCTTCCTTCCTGGAGCTCCCGCATCCCTTACGTCATTTCCTGTCTCGAGAACTTCCTCTATTGTTTCAGGGTAGGCCTGCTGGAGACATAGCATGTGAAGGATGTTTTCCCTTGACACAGAATTCTGAGTGGACAGTTTTCCTTCAGCATTTAAAAAAATGTGCCACTTCCCTTCACCCTCCGTGGTTTCTAACGAGAAATCCGCTGTCATTCAAATTGCTCTTCTACTGAAGGTAAAGTGACGTTTCCCTCGCATTTTCTGTCTTTAGTCTTCAGAAGTCTGACTGTGATGTGTCTTAGCACAGATTTCTTTCAGGTTACCCTGTGTGGCTTTCACTAAGCTTCTTGAATTTATAGGTTTATACCTTGCCGAACTGAGCAAATTTTCAGCCAGTAGTTCCTCAAACACATTTTCAGGCCTACGTTCATCTCTTTTCTTTCTTCTCTTTTCTGGGATTCCAGTGACAAGAATGACAGGTCTTTTGTGAAAGTCTCCCAGGTCCCTGAGGTTGTTTATTTTTTTCCAGTCTATTTCTGTCGTTCAGACTGGGCAACTTCCGCAGTTCCATCTTCAAGTTCACTGACGCTTTCCTTTGTCCTCTCCACTCTGCTGTCCGCAACCCACTGGGATTTTTATTCCATTTACTGTATTTTTCAGCTCGGAAACTTCCATTTGTGTCTTTATATCCTGTATTTCCACCGAGATTTTCTATTTTTAATTTAAGTATTAGTAATTACTCATATTTTTAAACTGATGGTTGCTTTACAACCTTTGTCAAACATTTATTCAACGTCTGCGTCACCTCTGACTTGCGGTCAGCTGTCTTCTCGTTCGCAGGTTCAGATTTTCCTAGTCCTCCACGTGATGCGATTTTCAGCTGAAGCCTCGATACTGGCGGTATTATGTTATCAGACCTGGAATCTGACTTAAGTGCTCTGTTCAGCTCACCTCTGCTGACGCTGTCCCCGCAGGCAAAGGGTGGTGCTACCTCGTTCCTACCAGGAGGGCGAGGAAGGTGGGGGTGGAGTCAGGGCTCCCCACTCCGCCTCCGCTGACCCAGAAGGCGTAAGAGTGCAGCCTCTCCCTTGTCCTACTCACATCGCCCTGGTTGGACCCGGGGTTCCACGTGACGGCACCGTACGTGGCTCCGTTACCACCAGGTGGTGGTGAAATGCCTGATTCTCTACTCGGTCTCCTCTGAAGCCACCAACGCAAGAAGAGGGATGGGTGGACCCTGCTACCACGCAGCAGAGATGAGACTCCCAGCCCCCGCCCGGCCTTCTCTAACACCACCGGCAGCGAGTCACCTCCATATAGCTTGTCATGGGGAGAAGTCTAGAGTCCCCAACCGGCCTTTGACAACAAAGATGAGGTGGGGTCCTCAGTGTCTTCTGAGAGTGTTCTGTCCAGTGGGCTGTCACTTTCTTCAACTTCCAGCCAGAAAGCAGGTTTTCTTGGGCCTTTTGGTCTGAGCCCTTTGGTGGTGTTGGGTTGCTGGCTTCTCCAGGCCTGGTCTGAAAGGCAAAAAGAAGACCCAGGGAACTCAGCCCTCTGCCATGTCTCGGCTCCCAATATCCCCAGTCAGTCCACTTTCTTCTCAGCACCTTCCAGTTCCACATTTGTTTTGCACACAGTGTCCAGTGTTCCTGGCCGTACTTAGGGGAAGGAAGAGGAAAAGTACACCTGCTCCATCTTTCGATCAGTACAAAGCCAGAGATCACCTTGTGCGCCTCAAACTGGATGTGTGCCTTGTTTGAAAACGGAAATAAGGAAGTCTTGCTTTACAGCACACTGACGAACTTCCGGGTTGGTAAACACGTGAGGATTCAGAAGAGGGTGTGCTCGGAGAGCATGGGTGCTCCACGCCCCAGCCCCATGCCTGGCCGTTCCTCAGTTACATCTTTCTACAATAAACCGGTGACCTTGTAACTACACACACACACACACACACACACACACACACACACACACACACACACGATCAA